AATTATAACGGTGCTATGACGGTCTGTTTGCATTGACAAGATGTGCTATTCACGCGGCACACCTGACGGCGGGTGTTATAAAAGATATCCCATAATCGGTTTTCTTTATATTTGTTATGTATTTTTCATTGTTTGTTCAGTACTAAAAGGTCCAAGAAGTCCCATAATTGAATTTAATATTAATTTGACATGATAACTATATCGTAAAGCGCTTCATGGGAGTAATTGTGGGATGATACATTTTCAAAGTATCACGATATGTATCGGTTGAGTATCGGTATCATTCAGTGGTATCGGTATCGGTATCGTAAAAAAGTCAACGATATGCATCCCTACTAACGTCAAGTATTTTTTTAACAGTTATTTAACCTGACCACTAGAGTGCCTCTTTAGATCACCCTGGTAACAGTGAACTGAGAAAAATACAAACATTAAAAACCAGACATGAGGGAACAAAATGATAAAGCTGAGTCACTTTGGAGCAACATGTGGGAGGCTGTTATTAGATGTGTGTTAAATGTGACAACAAAAGTGATGAAGGTCACACTCCTTTCAGCACTTGAAGTACCACAGAGGAGCTATTTAAATGTGAAATCCAACATATTTCAGTCTATTATCATGCTTCCTGTCTGCCTCTTGGTCCAAGCTGGATTCATCTGTATACCACCAGTGGCCTTCAGCAAATTAAGTGACTCATTTTAAGTATTGAGTTGTTGTTTTTTAATAATGTAATCAAGCCTGGTAAAACAGCTGGCCTTGAACAATCAATCAATCAATGTTTATTTATATAGCCCAATATCACAAATGTTACATTTGTCTCAGTGGACTTCACAGTTTGTACAGAATATCAGTATGACAATACGACACCCTCTGTCACAACAAGTTGTTCCTGATATTACAAGTTGCTTGAGTTTTCACATTCAAGATGCATCCTTTCAGAGTTTCATCTATGTCACAAGAATGTAATAGGGGAAATGTTTAATAGAGGTGTACATGATCTTTCCAAATCACATGGTTTTAGATAGAGCTTAGATTTATGAGTAAATTAGCAAAAGCTTTTCGAATAATGAGAACTGAATCTCAAGAGGGACCAACTGAGCAAAGAACTGTATCACTGGCATCAATGTGAATGTACACATTTCTGAGACATGTGAAAAAAGTTGAAAATCATCCTATATCCTATCATGAATAACTATTAGCAACTATTGCACGGTCAAAAACATTAAACATTGAGCGTCCAATTGGTGCTCTTTTTACGATTTCAACTCCATCATTGCTCAAACACATATGGACACAAAGAGGCAATTTATATAAATCACTTACCTTCTTCCTCCTCTTCCTCCTCCAGTTTCACATTTAAAGGATAATTCTGGATGCCATCCATGAAATGTGATGGAAGTCTATCCAGAGTTGATTCATGGTCCACAGAGATAGGGGTAGAGTACTCAAAAACTGAAGAATCCTCTGTTGTTGGAGTTTGTCCATGACTAGAGAATGCATCTACAAAGGACTCGTTTGATAAATATTTCACAGCTGGACTTAGTGCAAGATATTTTGGTGGGGTGGTTGAACTACAAGACCCTGGTGGCAGCTGGAGTTGATTGTCTGATAGGAGAGACTCTGGGTCACAGCGGGAATGTTGGGATTGCCTTGAGGACACCTGATTACTTCGGAATGACTGGGAAAGCTTCGGTGATGAGATTGTTTCTGGGAACAACTGGGAAGATTGGGATTGTTCTGGCAACAGAGATACATCGGAGCCTTTCTGTATTGGAGTTGATTGGTGAACTTTAGGCAATAAGATTGACTCAGTGGAGCTTGATGGTGAGACTTCGAATGTAGACCTTAGGGAGAAGGAAATGGACGGAGAAGGGGAAAGATGGTGTTCTAGTATTGGAGGTCTGTTCACAGTCACAGGAGAAGCATCAGGCGGAAACAAGACAGGGGAGAGTGAGGGTTTCAGGATCTGAGTTTGGGAATGTGCTGGTGAGGGAGAGGACAAATGTTGAATTGATCCAAGGTCAGGTTTTGATTCATGGACTTTGGGTGGGCAATTGGGCTTTTTTGACGGCTGTGTTTTGATCGATGTCTTCGAAGTCTGAGCAGTGGGGCTTGCTGATGGTTTACTCTTAGAGGACGATGCTGTGCAAAAGATAAAATGAACAACAATAAGGACATAAGTTATGTTTTGTACGCATGTGGTCACATTTTCATGAAAAAGCACACAAGGGATATTTTCCACCGTTTTAGGGAGTATTAAGTTTGTCCTTGAGTAATGTTGCTGCCAGCCTCCAAGGCCCAATACTGGTTTACCAATGTAAGATATTATATTCCTGTAAAATAAACTAAATTCTAATTTTAAATCATCTTTTGCAGCTGACCTGCATGTGTAAAAGACAACAATGTTCTAACACATACATGTGGGATGTTCATGTCAAACTGAACTGTAAATCATGTCGTCGTCACATATCATTGCTAGTTCTTAGAGGCTATTTTAGAAGAAACAGCTAAACTTACTGTATAATGGTCAAAACTCTTTTTTTCTTTGATTGGTCAGTCAATAATAAAAAATAAAAAAAAATATTTTTTATTGAAACTCCTAAAAAGCTCAACTTCGAAAAATTCCATAATCTCTAAGATAAACATGTGTTTTAATATTCTACATTTCCTCCGGTTTCTGTCGTGAAAACTGCAGGCAAAACGTTACATTTGTACCTGTCCTTCGGAAAAAAATCACAAAGCTTACATTTTGTCAAATGCTCTGGTTGGGAAGTCTGATTCCTGGATAGATGGAGCCTCTTAGCTCCTTTGGCCGGTGTTGGTGCTGTAAATTGCCTGGATGGTAGTGCTGGACTGGGAGAAGAGCAGCTGACTAATGAGGACCCGCTGTTAATAATAGCCGTTTGGGTCAGCAGAGTTCCCTTACTAAGGGGCTGCTGAACAGAAGGAACCCTGTGTGGGAAAAACAAGACATTGAGACTTCAGTCGTGGCTACACAGGACTCTTCTGACAGTGGACATTGTCATAAGAAAACATATCAGCAGCCTTGTAAAAGATTTGCCAAATTTGACTATATTCTTAGAATTACCGATAAATACAGACTGAATTTTAAGGAATGGTAGAAACATTCTCTGTCTACTCCTAGTACAGAATGAGTCCTTACCCCAAGTGAAAGATCTTGGGGTCTTTTTCATGAGTGAGGGGACAATGGAGTGTGAGATGGGCCAGGAGACTTGAGAGCAGCAGGAGCTTTACCGCACCGTGGTGACAAAGAGAGAACTGATCCAGAAGGCAAAGCTTTCGATTTACAGTACAGGGCAATCATCGTTCCTACGATACAAGCTTCCTACCTCTCGGGGTATAGCTGCTGCTCATTTGCGTAGAAAGGAGCCAGTTCAGGTGGTTCGGGCACCTAGTAAGGATTTCACCTTGCCACCTCCCTGGAGAGATGATATGTCAACACTAGCCTCGGAGCGCCCTGAAAGTCAGAGCTAGATCATGTGGCCAGGCAAAGGGAAGTTTAGGGCCCTCTGCGAGAACTGCTTCCTTGGATAAACAGTTTACGATGGATGGATGGATGGATGGATGGTTGGTTGGTAGTAACGTCATGATGTTTAGCCCCAACCCTTAACTGTTCATTCCAACATCCGTAAAGCTGTTCTTTCTATTTTGTCAAGATGCCAATATTTCACTTGACTGGATGGGATTTATCATTAATTGTCTCAAAAAAACAACAGTTTTCACAGACAATTCAACCAAGTGCACACATGCTGAGCAGCTGATAACTGTCACCAGCTCTCTTGTCTGTAGATGCAACGTCTTGTTTGTTTTAACAGTTTACGTATTTGCCAGTTATTCCCACAGGCTAGTGTGAATATGGTAGGCACCTTTGAGATCACAGTTAAATATTGATATAAGCTTACTTTCTGTTGTTGTCTGTCCTCTGTTGAGCAATAGAAAGTCCATGTATGTCTTCCTCCTCTCTCTATTGAAAACAAATGAAAACAGTCAAGTCATCTATGTGAACAAGACAAAGAGAGAGGAATGGAAATACAAATATGCTAGTGTCTGTGAAGCCTATTTACAGATGTCTGTCTTCTCCCCCAGTGACCCTCACTAAATTAACTACAGTATATGTTTTCATGTTGTGTGTTTCAAAGAGTGTTTGTTCAAATGAAATGCTTCAGTTATTCTCACCTCATCCAGGACTTGTATGACAAGGCACGACTCAGGTTGGGTAATCTGAGGCTCAGGCCTGCCACTGCTGACAGGGTCGGCAAACAATGATGCACAGTAGCGATGAAAATCCTCCTCTTGAGCTATAAGCACGCACGAACGACACACACACACACACACATACATACATACACACACATACACACACACACACACACACATTGTTACGCAAGATGGCTAGAGGGAAAGAGAGTCATGTAATGTGCTGCAACATGAGGGATTTAGACTTTGTCATATTTGTTTTTTTTTTTAAATCTGCTTTTTATTCCAGGAATGCGTTTTTTAGATATGGTTCAGCTATTTTGAAAACAATAAATACTTGTATTACAGGGCTTAGTTCAATACTCAATTCTGATTGGTCAATATGGACATTCTAGATAACTGATATTTTCTATATTTCACTAACAGACTGCTTCTTAGGAGGACACTGATCAAGGGAGCGTCAGCTGTAAACATTAACATCGGTTTAATTAATCAGAAAACACCATGGAATACTTATTGAATATTTATTTGTATAATTGTGGAGGGCACAAAACCTTGGATTCATGATAGCTAAGCTGTCATGAAGACAGGAAGTAAACACTAAAGGGAACACGATCAATATTGTGTGTCAAGTCGTTGGTAATAGGTGGGATAATGTACTGTAAGCCGGCCATTATAGAAAAAATAACACCAACAGGGTGAGCAGGATCCCGACGCACATTATCCCTTACATATTAAGTTGTAATACAATTATTGATTATTCAATAAATCGATCAATATTTGCATTGTCAGGAGTGTGTATCATTAAACATGCATACTGGCCGGTGTATCGATCACAGGACCAATGTACTGCCCCTCGGCTCTCTGTCTGACCCTCAGGTCAACTCAACTTTTGGCATCCAGCCAACTTATCTATCAAGCTCTTGCTCTGCTCTGGCAGCACTTAAGGTGACCCAATGAACACGTAATGGACACAGCTATCAATAAAGCTATTTGTACAGATCAATCTAAATCAAATGTAACAGTTGAATTTCCCCCAAAATCTGTTTTTTTATCATATTTCTTTCTGTTCTCTTCCCACTTCAAAGCTCGCAGGATAAAAAAGAATGTTCAAACATTTCCCAATTTGGGATCAATAAAGTACTTTCTTATCTTAAAGTCACCTCAACCTTCAGAGAGGCTCTCTTTAATGACCATTTTAAATAAAAACAAATGTACCAGACATGTGATGTTTCAGGTGCTTGTTTGCAGCACCTCTTATCACTTCTCTACCTGTGAAAGATGCCAGGGTTCAGGCCTGGACCCCTTGAAACAAATACAGTCATTTTCCTCTCTTACACCCTGCTCCAATGGGAATCAGAGGTCAGGGTCATGGAGAGCTGCACCACTGGCTCTGTGTCCATTTATTACCCTGTGTCAGATGAAAGATGTTGCTCAGCAGGGGAGGAACAGCAGTTTCCCCTCTGGAGACACAACCCTGCTGCTCTGAAGACAGCAGACAGGCGGTGATCTAAAGTACCTGTGTGTCTTTGTGATGTTTATAGTATCTATAGTACCTTGCAAAAGTACTCAACAAAACATTGAGATTGAATTCGGTTTAAAATAAAAAAAATGTAAGGGTCAGTTTTGTGAAGTAAAATATGAAAGTATCATTCGATTTGTTAGAAAAAATTGTGGGAAACATTAAAAGGCTACACAAATGAAAATATTTATATACTACATACATATATCGTTTTTAAAGGCATTTGTCTTTTTCTAATGTCCCCATACACGTATATTTCTTGAAAAATCCTATTCTTTAATGTATAATAGTTTTTAAAATGTCCATATTAGTTCCTTATTTCTACAACTTAATTCCTCTTATGCACTGCAACAAAGTTATAATGTCTTGTTCTCCTACTAAACCTGATTCTGATTTTTACCGAAGAGGATTAGGGCCACATGTGGTCTTTTTTTTTTATTGGACGTAAAGTGTTAGATCTGGCCTTAATTCTCTGCCGTTAATTCCATATGTGTGCATGCACTGATATTTAGCAAATATCTAAAGGTCATTTCCGCTGATATTGTTGTTAAAGCAGTGAAACATATAGTATCTGGACTACATCCACACATAACACATTTCTTCAAGGCAACAAAAGCAACAACACACTTTATGTTGAAATAAGTTTCTTTGCCGAATATTGTAATTTTGTCAGTCTGGGTCTTACTCTCGTTTTGTTTCCACTGAAAGTTACCCGTCTGTGCCACCTCCGTATATATCTCTCTATGTCATCCTAACAATGCTTCTATCACATCACCACATGGGTCTGACAGCTCGGGAAAATGAGAATTTAAAACAAGGGAGACTCCCCGCACGACTCCGGAAAACAGCTTTTATTATTCATGGCCACACACGTAGCCCACCCTTTCATAATCAAAGAGAGGAGAGGAGGGGAGACGCTGCAACCTGTTGTAATCGTTATGCGTGAGAAAAGTTTGAAGCAGGTGGATGGAATACTTTCTAAGCTGCGTAACAGCTCTACATTTCCCAGAGACACTGATGTCTTCCTCACATCTGCATATCGCTGAAACAATGGAGTGTCAATCATTTCACTGGAACGAGAAATTAGATTCATTATGTGAATGACTGGTTTTTAGTAATGATTGGTTTACCTAAAGAGTTGGAACAAAATTAATTTGAGTTTCATTTATAGTTTGTCCAGTGGTGTATGTAAGTCAATTTTTTTTTTGAAAAAGCGTCTAATAACATGTGATTCAAATCCAGATGAGATGGAAGAAAAACTTTTCAGAATATAGCTGCAAAGTCATAACAAAAAATGTACATGTTATGGAAGGCATAATGAACAGCAAGGCGGTCATTAATGAAAAGAGAACACCAACATGTGCAACAACAACTTGACTGATAATATTGATTTAAAATGATTTTATGATTTATAAATGATCGTATTGCCTAAGCAAAGGTCTGTTAGCAAAAATGAACAACCTCTGCCATGTCCAAATTGACAAATCAGGATTGAGTATTCAACCAAGCCTTATAATAAGTCATTTTCAGTTCATTAAATGGTGTGTATGAAAGGAATGCACTTAAAGAAAAATGGGAAGTGCAGCCGGTTATTCTTCCCTTCTTGCACAGCATAAATAAACACTAATCTGCATCATCGTGTAATATACACACGTTAAAGTGATTTTGCTCCGACATTGCACTTTAAACTTATACAGTACGGATGTGTATGTGAGCGTGTGTTAAACGTTACTACTAGGGTAAAATAACTTTTAATAAATCACCCTTAGGTGCAGAAAAACTAACATTTGTTTGAAATGTAATTTGTTACAACCCTCTCTGCCCTTGAAAAAACGAACAGATTACAATATTCAGATTCTCACAACACATGTTCGGCTTTCTGGGTTAATGGTGGGTTAATGAGAATGTTGCAACTAAGAGAACTGGGTCATGGGATAGAGAGGTTGCGAAACCTTCCTTTGGGGAGCTCCTTCAAAAGCAGAGTATTTCCAAAAAATAAACCCAAATAACGGCTTGCAAAAAAGCTTTACTCCTCTGAAGTAAACGACTCTGACTGAACTTACAGCCTTCAGCCTCATAAAGACCAAGATCTGAAGAAAGCTAAAAGTCTTGTTCCCTAATAGCTTTCTAACCAATAGAAAGTACTGAGAGGATATTCATGAATTTTAAGTTTGTTGCGTAATCAAGTCCTTTGTCAAAACAAAGTTTTGCTGGTAGCTAAAATATTGTCTAAAAGGGTCCTATTAGGTTCATATTAGTTTTCCGTGCCTCTACTGGGACATGTCTCCATGCTTTAATGTTTTAAAAGCTCTTTTTTTTCTCTTTGCCTGTTTCATCTTTTCACCCTCTGTCTGAAACCTGCTGCTCTGATTGGTTAGCTGGCCGGCTCTGTGGTGATTAGTCAACCACTAAGAGATGTCCCCCCCCCTTAGCCGATCACGTACAATCTGATGGAGCCCTAGCCAATAGAAGCGCGAGTGTTACAGAGTGATGTCACTATGTTACAGAAGTAAACAAAGGAAGTTAACAAAGGAGTCCAATGTGTTTCAGTCAGAGGAGAAGTGTATGGGAGAGAAACTCCCACAGCAGCGAACGCAGGGATTTTAGGCTTTGCAGACCATTTACATGCACAAAAAAAAACTAAAACACACAAAGAATAATAGGGCCTCTTTAAAGAATCAGCCAGAATGTGGAAAAGGAGATTATGTGTTATGTTGTTAATGTGTCATCATTGTTTACGGTTTTGTGGTGTTTTTGTTGTTGCATGCTCTCTCCCCCCTTCTCTGTTTCTCCTTCTCTGCAGGGCTTGTGAGTGGCAGGGGGCGTGGCCGGCAATCCCCTATCTGCAGACGAGGCACACCTGTTCCCAGTCCACCAATCAACCTGCTCTATATAAACCCAGTCCTCACTCCACTACTCTGCCAGCTGATTTAATGTAGTTGGATGATTCAGAGTGCCTCCTAGAGCCTTGTGTTCCTGAGCTCCAGTTATTAATGTGAACTCTAGAGTTTTCTCCTTGGACAACTCTCTCTAATCACTGGAGATGTTTCTGCTACCCAGCCAGCTTCTTACTATCACTGCCTGCCTTTTTGTTTGCTTTATTTATTCTATTAAACATCTTGAAATGTTTACCTGAGTCCGTCTCTGCTTTAGGGTCTTTTTAAATGTCAGAGCGTTACATGATGATTTGTTTGTTTGGGATGTGGTTTAAAAAAATGCAGCTCATGGTTGAATGGTTGGCATTATAGGAGATGCCGGGGAAGGGAGAGCTACAAGTGAAAAAAAGTACAAAACTGCATATCTAAAAAAGTTGTAATACTTTGGAGGCAGTAGCTGTTAGTGTTTGTTTAGACTGCGGTTAAGGCATCTCTGATTTACTAGAGCTGCAAGAGGTTATTGTAAATTAATGAGTCCACACTCCAAACAAACTGTAATGCATCTAATTTGTGTAATATATTAAACATTTCTATGGGGAGCATAGGCAACTTGTTTGACCTCTAAGATTTGTGGAACTATTTGAGATAGACAGCTATGGGGTAAGCAAGGTGTTTCAGATCCTAACAAGGTCGGGATTGGAGTGAATCTTGATTGATGTGATGAGAGGCGGTTGACAGCCCCCGGGGTCCAGAGGTTTTGGGAGGGGAGAGATAACCGTGGTCTACCCGTCTCCTGACAGCCTCGGCTTGGGGCCAGACAGCCAGGACACTCCCCTGACTGATGAGCTGCAGGCCCTGAGCTTTAGACTGCAGGCCATCCACCCCCCACCCCCTTTCTGCCCCATCCCTTACCCAGGCAGAGCGCAAACTGTCAGGCATGAGCCGCCTCTAACGGCCCTCTGCCCACACAATCACAGCCAGTGATTACCCGTCACATCGCCACGGATGGATGGGCAGGCACTGATACGTCTGACCCCTGAGAGGCAGAGGTTTTTTACTTTTCTATCCTGATTTTGTGTGTGTGTGTGTGTGTGTGTGTGTGTGTGTGTGTGTGTGTGTGTGTGTGTGTGTGTGTGTGTGTGTGTGTTCATCTGTCAAATGACTGTCTGTAGCTGTGTCTTGGTTGGTATGTCTATCAGAAAGGTGGTATGTTCAGCAAGAGTACATGACTGGCAAGGCTGTATGTCAACATCATATCTTGGTGTCAAAAGGTGCTTACGAGTGTGTGTGTGTGTGTGTGTGTGTGTGTGTGTGTGTGTGTGTGTGTGTGTGTGTGTGTGTGTGTGTGTGTGTGTGTGTGCGTGTGTGTTACCTGTTAGGCTTGCAGTCTCCTCCACAGTGTTTATGTTAGGTTGTGATTTTGAATCATTACCAGAGGCTGACGATGGACGATAAGTTTTGATTGGTGTCCTGCAAACAAATATGAATATATAAATCATTGAATTCACACTAAATGGATACAGATATAACTTAGACATAAACTCTTGGTCAGTTCCTACACAATTCTAATATGCATGGGGCTTAAAGGTAGGGTAGGTAAGAATGGAGAAACCAGTACACAACCGAAAAGAATCTGCCCCTTCCTTCAGACTCCCCTCCTCCAACACACACGAACGCGCACATGACCAATGAGGGCACGGGATAAGTTTGTGCACGAGATGGAAGGCTGACAGGCAGGTAGGCCATCCAGTTATTTGCCGTGGGCCGAGGCAGATAACTGAACTTGCTTTTCACAGCGCCACGGCTTCCACAGTCAAAATATTTAATGTATTCATTGCTATCGGGATGTGAAGAGCATTCCATGGAATATAACAAAAAGTGTTTCTGAAGTGAATTACCAAACCCACCTTTAAGGAAAACTCAAGTGTGCAAGCTCTTTGGGCTAAAGTCGCCGGTTGATATACTTTCTGAATCTACAGTCAGTGCATTTTGGCTTAATGCCCTACTTAACAACTCTCATAGGAATGAACAGGGGCCCGGCCTAAAATTTGTATCAGTTTATCTTTTTACATCCACAACTTTATCCTTATTCCCTTTGTCCCGGTCTCATAAAGCCAGGTCAAGGCCAATGAGAGAGAGTTTATGAGAAGCTCCAGGCTGCCCATAAGGTTAGACTGAGGTTATATATTTCCTCTTCAGTCAATATTCCCCAATCTGACCATTTTTATCTTTTCTCTGTCTTTTTAATTAGTGTGTTATATGTAATCCTGCACCTCACATCCCTTCTGTTATGCTTTCGCTTCATCTATCCATCCTTCTTAAATACAGTACTTTAAAAACAGTAACATCGCTAGTCTTAGGCTGTTTGCATTTCGGGTTTGGCCAGAGTGCAGGAAAAATAAGTGTGTTTCTCTTCTGTTGTCCTCTCGGGTCTTGTGTTTATACCTCCCTTTGGAGATACATTTTTGATAAAGAGACCTTCAACCAATTGAGCCTATAGTTTACACGTCTACTGAAAAATAACAACAACTGGTGAAGTGTTCCTGAGGAAGGATTTTGAATCCCTACCCAATTACCCTGCACCTTGTAAGAAAGAGTTTGAGAGTTTCCCTACAGTAATTTGTGCCGGAGTAAATAATGTATAAGTCTCTCTAAGAGGGAGGAAGTGAGATACAGTATAACCTACGATCTTCATTTCGAGACTTATTATGTAACGATGTTGAAAAATAGGTGACACACGATACTTAATCTTCAACAGTATTTCATATTTTTGTTTAAGCATAATTAATGGAAATACCCTTGTTTGACATTCTGCAATAAAGTTAACGCAAGAAGGATATGGCAGCTTCAATAAGACCATTACTGTTGCTATATTCACTCTGTGGACAGTGGGTTAGCCCATTCTACTTTGACAGTTATGCCAAAAGTGCTTTATGGAAGTCACCACTTCTCACAGGGGATATTTTCAACAAAACACCCCAACTTTTTTTCTATTTCTGCACTGTAAGCTAAAACTCTGTCTCCAAGTAACTGTACGGCAGAGGTCAAATGAGATGCTTCGGACCAGCCTGACCGTTCTTGTACTTCAAAATACAACCTTAAGTTTATAGTTATAAAAAATCAACACATGAGGGTCTACAGTTTCACAAGAACAACATTGTAAAAGTATTAATGCGAGAAACGCCACATCACTGCCTGGTGAAATTATGGCCCCGCCCACTTTCAGGTGATTGAAAGGAATTGGCGATCATTGATCACCAATCACATTGTGTAATTGTTTGACGAACAGACCATCGTATTTGGGCTCCTTGTAGATTAAAATGCAAAAAAATGTTTTATTCTTAATCCTTTTGATCTAGTTGAGGAAGATCTCAGAATTGGTATTTTACGACCAGTCAAATGACAGCAAATATTTCCACCCATGCCCTCATGTAATTGGATAAAATCCACTGGGCATTTTTGTTTTATAGAGTTGTTTTGACATCTGACATCTCTATGCTAAAATACAACAAACCAATAACATAATGTTTTTTGGCCTTCCTTTCACAGAACAACATCATCACCCCATTGGACTCATGTCGAATAAGCCAATAACAGCTCTAAGGCTTTTATAAGCTATTGTTGATCTGTACAGGGAGGTCACTGTGACCTATTGTGTGTTTGCCTAATGGGGTGGCTCCCAGATTTTTACTTTGAGAAAAGCTTTCTATTTGTGTAACTGAAATCTCATCATGCTTTTTTAAACCTGGCAGTACAAGTCGGGCGCAGTCAGGTCTTTCAGACTTGGGCGGGGGCCAGTTCGGATCTCAGTTCCTTTGCTTGTGCCGGCTTTTATTTCAGGGTTCAGTGCTTTGATCACAGATTCTTTGACGCTGGCTGTTGATGGAACCGAGCGTTCACATCCCCCCCCCCCCCCCCCCCCCCACAGCCCCCTGCCAGCTCAGGAAATCAGATTGATGCCCTCCTGGTCACCAGCTTGCTTTCTTTAACTTGCAGGCCACCCACCAATCTGATAGAGTTTATGACTCTAATATAGCTTAGCACTTTTAGCAAATCCTTTAAAACTATTTCCTTAATCACACTGCCTCCTTCTCACTCTTTCTTTCATTATTACAGAGGCTTGTTAAAATGCAGCCTCCACTCTTATTGTCTTTCTGCCAGCCAGCCTCTCTGTCTCTGCATTAAGCTCTGCCACCGTCACCGCTGCAGGCTTATTGCACTCTAGATTGGCTCTCTAGTCTATTCCACAGTTAAAAAGCTTCTACAGCAGGGGATGTAGAGCGTTCCAGCTCAGGCAGTCAGCAGGCCTAAAACTGCACTCTGTTCTCCTCTCCTCTGGCCTGCTCTCCAGTGGGCTACTCAGCCCGAAAGGAGCCGCTTAAATAAAGGGCTTTAATAATGGGACCTGCCGAAACCAGGCCCTCAGGCAGTCTGCTGCACAATAAGTACTGAGAAGCTGCTTTGTACACCGGTGGCTCGTGTAGGATGACTACAGGGAGGAAGAAGAGGCATGTTCCGAGGAAAGAGAAGGTGTGTGGATGTATTTATGTCCACAGTAATGGAGGCGGCAACAAGGGAAAGGTGTGTGTGTGTCATTTGAGAAGAAGAGCTTGTTGTGAAAACTGTGTGTGTTCATATTTTAAACTGCACTGTAACTTTTATTCATGTGTTTTTTCTTTTAATGTTTATTTTATTATCTTTGCTTTCTAATGACTGTTTTTCCATATCTCTGGTTATGAAAATAAGCTGATTGCATGAAAAAGACCCATTGTTGAACAGCATTTCCGTGCACATGACTTGTGTTTAAAGTTTATAGTACGTTCGAGTTTTACTCGTTTGAACCATGGATGTATAATAAGAAGTGGATACAGCGTGGGAGGCGGGGTCTCGTTCTTTCCTATGAGAGCTGCTCATTGGAGCATGAGGACAAAATGGCCCAACTTTTGAGAGAGCGAAACGTCACAGATTACCCTATGTATGTGCGCTCATAGAGCATGCGCAGTTGAGTTGCCCCGTAAGCCCCGCCCCCGAGCTCCCACTCTCAGGTGTACGTTCATAATGCAGAGGAAAATAACTCTCAGAATAACGTTATTAGCACATTTTACAACTTGAGGACCGAATGTTTTTAATAAGGGCTAAACAAATGTTCATACTGGGTAGTTTATTTAGTTTAAAAAAAATTATACAACGATTTACAGACGTCTCTTTCCCAATGTAAGTCAATGGGAAAAAGTGTTTCCGGGCCCAGCGACTGATACGGAAGTGTAGTACCGCCGTTTGGCCACAGCGAATATTTTCCTCAGAGTCCGGCGCACTTCCTGGGGGCTTGGTGTGAACGCAAACTGAACCTTCAGAAAAATTAAACAATGTAACAAACTGTCGTCTGTTGCGCACCAGAGAAGCGGACTATTAGGTTTGAATGCGTCCTTACTGTGTCGATGTATCTGACACACCAAACCGATTCTTGTATATGTAAACCTACTCAAACCTGTTCCTGATTCTGATAACAGAAGATGCAAGCTTTAGAAAATATATATGTATGTGCATTGTTGTGTGTACCTGCGGTGCTTCTTGAGAAGCAGTCTGTCAATGTAAGTAAGGCTGTTTTCTGTGAACTCCACCCTGACAGGTACACTTCCTTCTCCTCTTCCTCCTCCTTCAGCTCCTCTGACTGGGGCGAGGTCAGCCTGGGTCGCCATAGCTGACACAGATACTGGAGAAATATGGGGAAGAGGAGAGCACACAAAAATAAAGTAAGAGGCAAACAACAGCTTAAAGGTGAAGGAGTCAGACACAGGAAGGGAAAAAGAAGCGGGAAAACTTAATTCGCCAGCTCCTTCTTCAACACCTTCCTCAAAACATCTCCCCTCATGAAGTGAGAAAACACCTTGTCGACACGCCGAGTGCCAAAACACAAACAGACAGCAGAGAGAGCCCCCGGGGAATAAGAAGAAGATGTACACACAACACGAGAGGGACATAGTCAGCGAGTGAACGAAAAAGGAAAGATGTAGGCAAGAAAGAGAACTGTTATGATTGTACTGCAGACACTTTGGCAGTCCACAGCGACGGCTTTAAATTGGACCTGGGTGCCACTGGCCTGACAGAAATAATTAGGGCTGGAGGGGCTAGCAGCAATTTGCAGAGCAGAGCGAAGGCAGAGTGTGTCCAAGCAGTAAAGCAGAGAAAATTGGAGTCCTAATAAAAAGCACAAACACTGAGACACATACAGAACCTGGAATAATGGCTCCACTAATACACACACACACACACACATACATGAACCAAGACACACTGACGCTGCACATGCGCATAAAAATTGCCTGACGCAGTGGTGCTTGTACACACAGCCGAGGCGATTAGTGCTGTGGTGTGGAGTAGGGCCACTCCTAACCCTCCTGTCATTATCTCAATATGCAACAGCCATGGATTACCCTCCTACTGCAGAGGTAAGCACTTTCTGTAAGGTCTTAACAGATCAGAGAACAGACAGCGAGAGAGGGAGGAGGAGCTCAGGAGGATGTAGCAATAAAAAGGTGAAATACCATTTAAAAACATTTACGTATTAATGTGGATATACACACCATCTTAAGGTACCTGCACTTCACTTTGGGTTTTGTTAAACCCTTCATTAACCCTAAAATGGGCATTCAATATTTCGCAAAATCAATTGATTGCTATTTACACTCATATTGCATTGTTATTACACCCATAGTACACATTATTACAACCATATTACAGTTATAACACCCGTATTATACCCACATACCAGTGTTGTAGTTAAGTCACCAATTCACGAGTCCAAGTCACTCTCGAGTCACCACTCTTCGAGTCCGAGTCCAAGTCCGAGTCACCTAGGGAGAGTCGTAGTCGAGTCCGAGTCCAAGTCCGAGTCACCCAAGGAGTGTCCGAGTCGAGTCCGAGTCATCATTACCTGTGTTCGAGTCCGAGTCCAAGTCCGAGTCACCCAAGGAGTGTCCGAGTCGAGTCCGAGTCATCATTACCTGTGTTCGAGTCCGAGTCCAAGTCCGAGTCACCTAAGAAGAGTCCAAGTCAAGTCCGAGTCACAAGTCTTCATGTATTAATCTTCGTGGATATATGTGTTGAAATGTAGCTGCTCCTCTACATTGCTTTTATCCTGTCATGTTATATTAATCTGTCTATTGAAATACTGTGAAGCGAGTTTGGCTCCAATTCTTGTAATAGGTGCTATTGTGGTGCCGAGAGATGGGAGTCGGAGGCGGGGTATCGAAGCTACAAGCTAGACTTTTATTTAGCATCGGAACACACATGTAAACAACTTCATGGACGGGAAGTGAAGAATGGCGGAAACAGGAAGTCCGGCTCACTAAAATGTCTGTGAGGAACAATACCCCAACCCATAGATCCGTGGGTGAATAATGTCAATCACCACACTATACAAATATAAAGCTAATTAATATTATTATTATTATTATTATTATTATTATTATTATTATTATTATATATAAATAAACTATATTTAAAATGAGTTATCTTTCAGAGAAGTGATTATATTTGTATGCCAATATTTTCCTATGGTAAAGTTTTCGTTTTGCACTTTTATTTTGATAGTAATAAGATCGGGACTCTTATTTTGCATGCAAAAGGACGTCATTCTGCAACTTAAGTAGCCATGTGCTTTTGTGTTATCGGCTGAATCTTTATTTATTGATTAGATCA